TCCCGCCCCACACCTCCCTCTGCCTTCGGCTCTCTACCAGGCTACTTGGCACTTTTCGGGGCTCCTCGATGTCCCTTTCAGCCCACTGGCAGCCGAGGAGCATTCCTGAGGCTGCCCGGGCCCAGCCCTCCGGCAGGTGGCCTGCCATTGACCCCAGAAGAGCCTTCTGCACCGAGGCTCCATTGCCCCACTCCCTAGACTAGGACGCTGCATGCCTGCACCATGCCGCTTGTGTCTGTGTGTTGCTTTGATGCCATGTAAGGTGCTTGTGTTAACCACGTGCTCTTCTTTTCTGAGCCCTGGGTGGGTGGGAGGAGCCCGGGAGGAGCCCAAAGATGACCCCCACACAGAAGCAATGAAAGGAGGGACGGGAGCCGGCAGGCACAGGGGCTCGCTCTCCGCCATGCCTCGACCCCGACCAGTGCAGTGGGGCTGGCGAACAACACGTCGGAGCTGCCGTCCAGGCCAGTCCTGGAAGAGGCCTTGGGTGTATCCCGGCCAGGGGAGACCAGAACTTAGGGACTCTTGCTCCCACCCACCGGCTTAGCGAGGAGGAGACTCCCCAGGGAGAGAGAGGCCCCAACCTAGAGGGGAAAGCGGTCCACACCCCCAGCATCCACTGACCAAGACCCAAGCACAGCCGCTGTGCCCCGCCTCCCTTCCCTCCCCTCTCGCCCCCTGAGGTCCCCAGAGACCCTTGGCTTTGACCGGAGCTGCACGCCCTGCTCATGCGCATGCGTGTTGAGATGTGGCACCCACCTCTCCGTGTTCACCTCTTCTCTGATCTGCTGCAGGTGGCAGTGCAGCCGCAAACAATGACCCCGAAATGGATGGGGAAGATGGGGTTTCCTTCATCAGTCCCCTGGGCATTCTGTACACCCCGGCTTTAAAAGGTACCCCTCTCTCCCGGGTGTTGGAGCACGCTCCTGTAGGCCAGTGCTCCCTCGGCGCTGAACCTCGGAGTTCCCGGCACACGTCCAGGACACAGCCGGCCGTGGGTCCCTTGCAGCCAAGTCTTCCCATGACTCCTTTCGTCAGGTCCCTGGAAAGTCAAATGTGTGACTTAATGTGGACACGGAGGTAGTAAACGCACGTCCAGGCTGCCTGCTCCTAGAAAAGTGAGCAGCCAGCCGCGGCGTCCTGCAGGGTCTGTCCCGCCTGCGCACAGAGCCGCCCCCATGTGCCACCTGCACGGGAGGCTCCCTCACACAGACGTTTCCGAGAGCGGTGGGACCTGGGGATGAGGACTGGGGACGCACGGAGAGCAGGCGGACAAAAGGCAGGAGGGCGTGGCGTGGGGGTGCGGGCCCCGCCTGAGACCGACCCCCTCCTTGTTACTAGTGATGGAGGGCCACGGGGAAGTGAATATTAAGCATTACCTAAACTGCAGTCACTGTGAGGTAGACGAATGTCACATGGACCCTGAGAGCCACAAGGTCATCTGCTTCTGTGACCACGGCACGGTGCTGGCTGAGGACGGCATCTCTTGCATTGGTAAGGGGGCCAGAGGGCCAGTGGCCGATGGAGGCTGGGACTCCTGCTGCTAGGTTTGTAAGCTTCCTGTCCCCACCCCGCTGGTGCTCTTAAGACTGAGCAGAGGGGTCCAGTAGGGAGGGTGGACAGCTCCTGAAGGAATCCTACCCCTCACCCAGGGCAGAACCCTCTGACTTCACCAAAGCCCCCCCATCTCACTCACACACCCCAGGGGCAGGGACCCCGGCCCTCCCAAGGCACTTCGGTGTATCTGGAAGTTTCAGGACAGGGACCCAGTTCCTTTGAGCTTCCTCTCGTGGTTCCTAACTGGCCTCAGCCTTCCAGGCGAAGCTCTGATGGCAACTCCCCTTCCTCCCCGAAGTCTTCCCCAGATGAAAGAGCCCGTTCATTCTGACCATGCAGACCCAGTTGTCCACCCCAACCTGCCGTCCCTCCTCTCCTTGTTCCAGGTGTCCCATAGCAGGCAAGATGCCTCCATGGGAGCCACCAGCAGAGGCTCTGCCCTTGGGGTTACAGGCAATTAATTCAGCCCCTCAGGGCATTGCCCTCCCTTATGGGGTCATGCAAGTGTGGAACCCCTCGGCCCCACTTCTCCTACATGCACCTCTGTTGCTCCTTTCTTCCCTGCTCCATGCTCAACGGCTGATGTTTCAGGATGCCCAGAGCGGATGTTCATCCCTTCACATTTTCCCTCTGCTCCAAAGCTACTATTGCAAAACTGTAAAACAAGATGAGCCCGCTCTGTGCCCAGGGTCCCCTGACAACCCAGGGGTGGGAAGCAGCACCTCTGACTTGGGGAGGACCAGCTCAGGGAGAATCGGCTTGGTGAGGACCCTGTCCCGACCTGTCTTCCAGTGTCGCCCACCCCAGAACCTCACCTGCCTCTCTCGCTGATCCTCTCCGTGGTGACCTCTGCCCTGGTGGCCGCCCTTGTCCTGGCTTTCTCAGGCATCATGATAGGTGAGTGCGCCAGAGCCCCAGGGGCCCCAAAACGGACAGATCCAGCAGAGATGAACAGAGACACAGGTGGTACCATGGACACCAGGGTGTCCTTCTGTCCTTCTGGTCGCTGGAGCTGGATGGGGTGGTGACTAGGCAGAGCAGGCCACGCCAAAACCAAAGCTCCCAACCCTCCTCCCAGCCAGAGCAACTGCAGTACCCTGAGCCGAGGGGTGGTGTCCCGGCTGCCACGTGGGATGAGATATTCTTCAGGTACACACACTCCTGGGACTTCGCTCTCAGCCTGCAAGGGCTGCAGTGGCCGCAGGTCCCCATGTAGCAGTCATCCCAACCTTCCACCTCCCTCTGTGATCAGGCCAAGAGTGGTATGGGCCGGGTTCTACACACATTTCCATTGCGCCTGTGAGCTGTCTGAGATCACAGAGGCTCAGCACGGGCCAGCCATGCTGCTGCGGGCATGACATGCCCGGGTCAGAGGGGAGGGACGTGAAGGCAGACAGAGAGAAAGGCTCCCCTTTTCCTGCTCACTCCTGGAATCAGCTTCTTCCCCCACCCCATGAGGACCACCTCACTTTCTCTCTCATCCTCTGCACCTACCCTCTCTCCCTTCCTCTTCTAACAAAGAAAGAAAACCCTGTGCCAAAGGTGGCTTCATTTCATAGAGGAAGGGACTGAGCACATCGCAGGTGACCAAGGGCGGTGCTGCCCTGGCTCAGAAGTGGGTGGGCTGGGCCTTCTGGGCAGAACCCATCCTCCGAGTGGACATATCTTTCTGCCGCAGTACTCTGTGGTATAGACCCACTTCATGGCGTGGGTGAGAGTCCCTCGCATGGCAGAGCTTCCTGTCACTGAGGTCATTTCACTGTGACAACTCCAGGACAGTGGAGAGTCGGGGCTCAAGGAAGCAGGGCCAGAGTTCTTGTTGGTCCAGAAAAAGAAACCAAGGTCTAAAAAGACTATGCAACATGTCCAGGATCACTCGCTTTTTAAGTCAGAGGTACGGTTAGCCCTCCGGTCCTGGATGCCAGTTTAGAGATCTTTTCATTGTGTGCCACTTCTCCAGCTGTGTGGCTCTGCAGTTCTCTGACAGGACCCAGCGGTAGCCCCTTCCCATGGCTGAGCACCTCAGAAATGCTGGGCTGGCCCATTCCTGGGACACTCACACCCCTCTCATGGCTGACTGTACCCCAGAGCTCCAGGTGCCTCACTGAAACACCTTTAGACCGCAAGACTCCAGAGCGTTCCACACAACCTTCCCGCCTCTCCTTCACGCAGGGTCAGGCTCCCAACACAACCTGGGGTTTCAGCCTTCCCAGCACCCTCCCCTAATGAAATCCTAGGTCTTGGGTCTGCTTGCAGGGGGATCCAGAGCAGCACGCCTCTGCCTTTGTAGGATATAATCAAACCTTTGCCACTTATGTTACTTTACGCATTGCATTTGCTTGAAATGCTGGTTTGATTATTTCATTAGTATTAGTAAGTGTGACAGAGCTCAGAGAAGGGTATAGAAATCTAGGGAGCCTTCTTGGAGGAAGTAGCCTGTGCTGACCTTTCAGAGCCAGGCTGCCGGCCAGGGACCCCCTCGCAGCTGACCTCCGTCTGTCTGCAGTGTACCGCCGGAAGCACCAGGAGCTGCAGGCCATGCAGATGGAGCTGCAGAGTCCTGAGTACAAGTTGAGCAAGCTCCGCACCTCCACCATCATGAGCGACTACAACCCCAATTACTGCTTTGCCGGCAAGACCTCCTCCATCAGTGACCTGAAAGAGGTGCCGCGGAAAAACATCACCCTCATTCGGTGAGTGGGGTGGGGTGGAGGAGTGGCCCGGGGGGCTGGACGTCATTCCAGCACCATGGAGTCCTCTGGCCACAAAGCCAGCAGAGCCAGCCCTGGGGGGACCCCCGCCGGCCAGGGGGACAAGGCTTAGTGTGCAGGGCCACGTGGGGTGTAGAATGAACCCTGTTGTATTTGGGAGGCAATGCCACGAGAGAAGGACTCGGAGAGAAGACCAGGCCTTTCAAGTATCCGTTCCCACAGGACTCCTGCTCCCTCCCCGCATTGGTGGGGATGCTCAGGGCATCGCACTTAGCAGCCCAGCTTGCTGTGTATTCCTGTCACTCACTACCACTGTCTCTGCCAGAGACAGACTCACCAGCTACTCAGGGAATGGATAAATGTCTGAACATCATCATGAATCCTATTAGGACCTACACTGGCCCCTTCTCTGTTGCCAATAACACAATAGCACTGACTGGGTGAGTTGGAGAAGAGTATTTTGTTTTGGCTCCCAGTACAGGAAGGCTAGAGAACACCTCTGTTGGTGGCCTGCTTGCTGTCAGAGATAGTGCTGGGGCAGGGGGTGTGTAAGGGTGTCCCTATGCTCTGAACCCCCCAGGGTTCAATCGTGGGGCTCATGCTAATGAGCTGATGTCATCCTGATGCCTCCCACAGGCCCTACCTCCAACACCATAGTTGACTTAAGCTCCCTCCTCAGTTCCTCACAGTGGGATTAACTTCAGCACATGAACCTGGCGGGGACACAGTCAAACCATAGTGGAATCTTTCTTACCAGATTCCAGATAAAGAAATGGAGGCCAAGGATCAGATCGAGCAGCAAGGCCAGGTTGAAAGTGCTGCTCCCAAGCCCTTGCCTCTCGTGTGCATCTGCTGAATGTGACCTTGGGCTCAGGCCCCAGCTGCCCTTCTCCTGTGCCCCCCTAATTCTGCGTCATCTCGCCTTCTCGCACAGGGGTCTGGGCCATGGCGCATTTGGGGAGGTGTACGAAGGCCAGGTCTCCGGAATGCCCAATGATCCGAGCCCCCTGCAAGTGGCTGTGAAGGTGAGAGGTGGCTTCCCCTTGAGCCTGGCGTCAGCCTGCGGTCTCTGTAGGCTGCAGCTCTCAGCTCACAGCTGCCTTCTCTTCTCCCCTTGTGCTCAGACGCTGCCGGAAGTGTGCTCAGAGCAGGACGAATTGGACTTCCTCATGGAAGCCCTGATCATCAGGTAAAGCCAGAGACCCCAGCGGCTGCCCTCCATGCAGAGGTTTCTAAGAGATAGATGTCACTGAGGGAAATGGGGTCCCCCCGAAAAGACGCCCTGGTCATCATGATGCATCTTACAGACTACAGACCCCCAGTGTTGTCTCAGAAAATGCCGATTAGGCCTTATAATCATGCTGCTGTCATTGCCTGCAGCCTGCACCCCTGGTGTCATCCATTGGTTCTCATTCCCCAGGTGACGCTTTCAGAATAACAGCAGGGCTGAGGCAGTGGCTCTGACCTGGGTATTGCTAAGAGTGCTCAAGGCTCCTGGGGGCCCCTACTCTGATGCACATCCCCTGGGGGAGAGGCACATGTTTTTCCTCAAGATCTGGTGGCACTCAGGGCCTCCAGGAGCCATCAAGCATCCTGACAAGTGGGGGTGGCTTAGGGGTCCCCTTAGTGGAGGTGGGGGAAACCAGGCCAGAGCAGTGTGAGAGAGGTGCTTTTGGGCCCTAGACATCCAGGAGGATATGCAACATGGACAAGCTCTTGATTTAAAATTAGCATTTATTTACTGATTATATACATTATGCATGAATATTGAATAAAACTTGGAAAGTTGAGATTGTATTGGAGGAAAGCCAACTCAGTCTCACCATTTGGCAATAATTAGCCATTATTTTTCAGTGGACAGTCACCCAGTCTCTCAACTCTGTGTGTGCAGTGTGTGTGTGTGTGTGTGTGTGTGTGTGGTGTCCATGTGAAGTATCCTAGCCTCACTGCCCAGTATGTCCTCATAGGATCACATTAACAAGCAAACCCAATTCTCAGGGCCTCTCGTCCCAACTCAGTCCCTGCCCATGAGGAATCTGCTGGCAACATCATGGACCAGTGACCCCGTCCCCTCTTCCTGGCTCTCTCTCACCCCTGCTTTTGCCTGAGGTGGTCTTCCTCAGAGAAGTCAACCAAGAATTCATACAGCAAAATCTAAAAGATACACACACACGCACACACACACACACACACACACACACACGTCCTCCTTGCCTGGGACCTGCACAATATCCTCCCTTCCCACCCCATTCCCCTGCACACCTGGCTCCTGGCCAGCCCGGCCTGGCTCCCACCTGCTCAGCAGGGAGGTTGGCCACGGGCTCAGGTCCCCACTGCCCAGGGCTGCTGAAAGCATGACTTTGTTATTATGGTTTTTTTACCGGGATTGAACTCAGGACCTTGTGCTTGCAAGGCAGGAGGCGGCACCTCTGAGCTAAGCCCCCCACCCAATGACTTTCTATCCTGCTTATCTCACTTAAGACTATGCCAGACGCGGCTCAGTTAAATGTGGTTGCACCCTTCTGCCCCACAGCAAATTCAACCACCAGAACATCGTGCGCTGTATCGGGGTGAGCCTGCAAGCCCTGCCCCGCTTCATCCTGCTGGAGCTCATGGCAGGCGGAGACCTCAAGTCCTTCCTCCGGGAGACACGCCCTCGCCCAGTGAGTGGAAGGGACCGGCAGGAGCAGGGGTGGGGAACCCAGGAGGGAGCCTGGGGACCGGCCTTGGGGCAGGGATGGGAAGGAGGAGACAGAAGGTGAGGGGCTGAGCCGCAGCCCCAGGGAGGAGTCTGCGCGGGGCTTGTACGAAGGATTCCATAGCCCGACTCCCTGTTTACGGCCTGAGTGAGGAACACCGAGCTCAAGACAAACTTGGAGAGGGACTTTCATGCCAGCCATTTCGCGAACTCAGTCGAATACCTGGGGGCTGTGTCCCATCCACTGTCGCAAACCAATGACCTCATCTCTCGGTAGGGATAACAACCCCCAACATCCCAACCTTGTAGTTCTGCTGTACAAGGAGAGTGATGGAATATGTAGCCCCAGCACCTGCCCATGTGAACCCCGAAAGTCAGACTAGAACTTCTCAGAGGTGGCTTGAAATTATACAACACAGCGCTCCCAGCTTCCCAGCGTCCAACTCCTGACTGTGCGGGGCCTTAGGAGGCCCTGTCACTACCGACTGCAGCAGGGCACAGCCTGGATTAGGAGTTACCACAGGAAGAACAAGAGCAGTCAGAGCCACGGCCCCTCTCCTCCCCGGGGAGCAGAGACAGCCTGGCGTCCCTTCTGCTACGGAGAGCCCCGACAGAGGACTTAGAGTGGTGGCAGAAACCCTGGCAGGTCTCGGCTGCTCCCGTCTGCACCTCAATCAGATTCACTGTGAAACACCTCCGCCTTAGGAGCCTCCCTGCTGTTTTTTGCAAGTTGGGGAGTCACGAGTCTCAGCCTCTGAGAAGAATCCAGGGTAGAAATGAGAGTCTGTGCAGAGAGCACACCCCGCTGGAGGGTGGGAGCAGTGGTTGCCTCTCGCCCGCATCACACGGTATCCTCCTCGCCAGCCCTTCACAGATGAGGAAACTGTGGCCCAAGAGGTTATTGATTTGCCAAAGCCACACAGGAAGGAGAGAAGCTGGGCCTGGAACTCAGCTCTGGGACTCACAGCATATCCTAGCCTCCACTGCCGTCTATCCAATGGTTCTCTTCAGGAAGCCAAGGGTGCTGGGAAGCCTGGCATCGCTGCCAGGCCTGGCATCAGCTTCTCTGGCTCAGCCCCACTGCCCAGCCGGGTGGATCCTGCACGCCCTGAGGTTCTCAGCAGTACCACTGGTAGAGGTCACATGCATCACACATGGCATCACATGTGGGAAGGGCTCGGCTCTGCTTTTCGCAGTGCTGCTTGAGGGAAGAAAGCATTGTGCACACACAAGACAGAAACCACCCAGGAAGCGCAGTCTGCAGACCCATCTCTGGGCAAATCTGAGGACTTTGGGGATAGGAGGAGGAGCAGCACCTTTTCAAGAACAAAGGTCCCTTTTAATAAAAAAAAAAAAAATGCAGAACCAGTGTTTGTTCGACATGTATTTTTTGAGGGCTTACTGCGTGCCAGGTACAGTAATAGCTGTCTTTCAGTATCGGCTGAATCAAGCCATAATGACAAAAGCCATTCATAAGTCAGTAATCTCGTAATTAAAGATACAGGTCATTCACCACATCCATGTCTATCTGTAGTCGGCACCCAGTGATACCTGCCTGCAGGTAATAGATGCTCAGTGCTTGGATCCTGCAGGTCCACTGTCTGTGGGCAAGAACCTCCGATTTAGGCTGGATACCAACACTGGCTCCAAATCCATGGAGGGCCATCTCTTCCCAAAGAAAATTCGGTCCACATCAAGAAGCAGGAATCCAAAGGGCCCCAAAGCATGAATTCCTCATCCCTTTTCAAAGTACATTTTGACTGCTTTTTAGATTATATATTCCCTGTCTGTATTCTTTGCTTCTTTCTTTCATCTTCCCTGTTCATGTACACATACATTGATTTTAAAGTACAACCCTGTTCTGGTTTTCACTTGGTGGAAGAGTTCCTTCCCCGTGTCCTGTGCATCTTCATCTCTATAAAGTAAAAAGGGAGAAGGCTGAAATTGTAGCTCAGTGGTATACTGTTTCCCCAGCATGCAGTGAGGCCATGGGTTCAATCCCCAGCCTCCCCCCAAAAAGGAGGAAAAGAAGTATCAATATTACTGTGTATTTTATTAATGTAGCACATATTATCTTTTGGGAGTAACTGTGACACTAGATGAACCATTTCTGGCCTATACAGTGTCCCTGAAAGGAGCACACACACACACACACACACACACACACACACACCACATATACTGCATGCACAAGACACCTCAGACACCTACACCACAGGTTTCTGACTGCCTGCTTCTGCTCAGACTGGTGGAGCAGGTAATTTTCAGGGAGCCCTGATAAAGCTGGCCCTGAGCTAAAGCCTGGCAAGCTAGAGCCTGGCTGCCCCTGCGGCCCTCAGTTCCCAGGCATTTGAGACATCAGTGGTCCTGGAATCCTAGATGATGGAGGCTGAGACACAAAGAGACTCTGGGGAAGAGACTTCCTGAAGGCCTTCCCACAACCAGGACGGTCATCTGGTAGGAACAGGAAGCATTTTCCTGAGGAGAGAAAGTATATCTCCAATACTACTGCAAAATGGATGATGGCTTCCCTTGGAAATGCGGCTCTCTTCCTTTCCCTGGGGTCTTGGGCTGTCTCTCTCACAGTGCCCAGATCTTCAGAGCCTGAGAGGGCCTCTGGAGGAGCCACACACAGGAGGAACCCTGAGTCCTCCCCTGCCACAGGCCAGGGAGGCTGCACGTCCCTTGGTCCAGTAAGCCAGTGAGGTGGTAGACTCTGACACTCTCCCCCAAGAGAATCATGCTCAGAGAGAGGCTGAGCTATGTATGAGTCCTGGGTCACGAGGCCCATAAAGGATGAGGAGCAGGGCAAAGCCCTGGTCAGCGCCAGTGACTGGGGCTGCTGCGTTTGTGAGCTGCGTCGTATTCCATATTCACCTCTCTTCCATCCGTCTTTGGCCCTCTCTTCCAAGAAGCAGCTCAATCTGAATTGAACCCTGCCTCCCCCAACCCAGATTCTTTCAGCCCAGCTCTGGGCAGTTTGGATTCCACTCTTCTTAGCTGTGTGCCGTGAGGGGACTCAATGTCTCTGTGGCCTTCTTGACTTTGATATCGATACTTTCTCTTCCCCGTCTACCACACAGCTGACTGCATCAGAGGAGAGCTTGCACATGGACTTGAGCTAGGAAATTTCAGGAAGCAGCCGGGATGCTTCTCCCTCAGTTATCTCTTTAGAGCCAGCATGTGGCCCTGACTTGCAGGATTCCCTCCTGCCTCCTCCAGACCCAAACCACTGCGGCAAGTGGCCCCAGGGAGGCCCAGTCTTGGGCAGAGGAAATCCACCCAAGTGAGCCTGCAGCCAGACCCCAGCTGTGTCGCCGATGAGGCCTGAGGAGGTCGCTGCAAAGAGAAGACAGGACCTCAACTTGCCTGGAGGCATAGGTTCGGGGATTCTTGTCACAGAAAAAGCATTTCAGGATGCATCAGTGAGAGGCACAGGCATATGTACTAGACAGAAAGTAAGAGGAAATAGGGAAGGGACTTCGGCTTGAGGAGATGAAGCGGGCACAGCTCCGATGGAGAGGATCAGATTAGCCCATCCACAGAAAGATGTTGTCAGCCATTTGTTTGTTTGTTTGTGACAGGGTCTAGCTATGTAGTTCAGGATGGCCCTGAAGTCACTATGGAGTCCCAGCTGGTCTCGAACTCGTGGTGAGCCTCCTGCCTCAGCACCCCTAGTGCTGAGATCACAGGTGTGCACCACCACACCCTGTGACACCAGCTTTTATGGATTGGCTGAGCTGGCCTAGAGTCTGGCTAATCATTATCTCGGTTCTGGATTTGCAACATGGCTCCTTATCACTTGAGGGACAATCCGGTCTCCACGAGATGATTATGCTTAGGCCGTCTCAGTTTTGTGGAGGCTGTGCTGGGATCCAAGGTGACCACAGGTTTATGCAGTGACTGGAGACTAATGGGTGTTCATTGGTAGTTGAATGTCCCTGTAAGTCTCATATGGTGGTGTCTTCAGTCTGGAAGGGGGATGAGAAAGGTTATGTAAACTTAGGGCTGATCCGTCTCACTTTGCCAGCTTTTAAATAGACACCCCCTAACTGATGAGTGTATCTGTATGCAGAGCTGAGAGGACCTGACCTTACCTCTAAGGTAATAAAGGAACTGACACAAAATCAAGGTCAAGCTTCGTTGCCTTGGTTACCCATTTGGCACCTGAAGGCCCAGGTGAAGAGTCACTATTTTTCAGCAAAAACAGCTTCTAAATCCTGACTGTCTCAGAATAAATGCAGATCTCCCTTTTAATGAGTAACATGGTAATGGGCCAGGAGCGAGTGTGTCCTCTGTCCCTGCGATGTTCTCTGACTGCGCCACTTACACTGCTGCCCCCTGGCTGAGTGATCCCCTGTGCACCTCAGAACAAAGATCAGGGTGTTTGCCCCACCTTCGGGGTCACAGTGCAGACAGGGGTGAAAGGGCCCTGAGCCTTAGGAGGAGGAGCAAATCAGCAGCCCCTCCAGCAGGAATTTCAGAGTCACCAGCTTTCTATCTCTCTAGGGCTTAAGCAATTCAATACAGAAATAAGGGAGTCTGTTAGTCAGCTTCGTGTCATATAACAAAACACCAGAGGCATTTAACTTCTTTTTAAAATGGTTTCTTTTGGCTCAGAGTTCTGGATTTTCCAGTCCAAGACCAGGTGGCCCCACTGCTTTGGGCCAGTGGCAAGGGTGACCCATCGTGGCCAAAGGGCATGACGGAGAAACAGAGAACTTGGAGACTGGGGCCCCATAATCTCCTGCAGGAGCCTCCAGTGATCCGAGGACCTTCCATGAGGCCCCGCCTCTCAAAGGTTTCCATCACCTCCCAGTACCTCCATCCTAGGGATCACCCTGTAACACACGGGCCCTGGGGGAACAGGCATTCAGACCATTGCTGGGGATTTGATGTGACTATCCTGTCCGCCTCTGCTGTTTTGTATAGATATTCAAAACATCCCACTTTAGGTAAATCATAGTCCAGAGATACAAGCAACTAATCGGCCACCCAGGACTCACTAAATAGCCAGAATGTGCCCATTTCACACTGAATGTTACGGAAGGGAAAGATGAGTTCCTGTGTCAGAGACCTCAGCGTTCACTTGGGGATATGGTAAAATCAACACAGAATAAAACACAACAAAGTGACTATGAAACAGCCCTACATTGTGATTAATTAAAAGAGAGACCAAGAATGAATGTCACCTTCAGAAAGACTTCATGGAACTCAACAAGGGTGTCTAAGAGGCCACCACAGCTGGGGTGACATTTCCTTGTACATGAAAGAGACATTGTACAGAACAGCAAGAGATGGCTCTTAATCGCCCATTATTTTCCAAAGGCTTTCCTTTTTTTAATCCACTTTAGGTCTGAATATTCTTGTTGGAAATTAATTTTTTAAAATAACTTCAGACATTTAAAATTACATCACCCCTTCCTGGTCTCTACAGGCGTGTCTATAGATTGGGAGTATTAAAATATTTATGGAGCTGGAAATAGAAGAGGGGAAAGGCCACCGGCCCATGCAGATTCCTGTGTTCTGGGCATCCCCAGCCCTGGGTGGTGGTAGAATCCCCCCAGGAAGCTTTCAAACATGGATTTCTGGGTGTGGGTGGGGCCCTGCGCATCTGTTTTAAAACCTCAGGGGATTTCCAGCAGCCCCCACTGCCAAGACCCCTGGCAGAGCCATGGCTGTGCTCGGCCTCCTTCTGAGCATAAACCCGAGTCCCCACCCTCCCCACTCCCCAGTAGCTCCATCAGTGGACCTCTTCTGTCTCCCCACAGAGCCAGCCCTCCTCCCTGGCCATGCTGGACCTGCTGCACGTGGCTCGGGACATTGCCTGTGGCTGTCAGTATCTGGAGGAAAACCACTTCATCCACCGGTGAGTCAAAGAGGGCTTGCCCCGCTGCCTTGTGCACCCTTCCCTGCATGTCCCATGGGCCAGGTCCTCCCCATTCAGAGGAGAACTATTGGTCAAGAGAGTAGCATGAATTCTCCATGCTCAGCCTCCTGTGAGCAACCCTGCCTGTGTCTAGGACAGGAAGGTCCTGTATCGCCTTAAGGTTCCCCTGCCTAGAAAACTGGGCTGGAGGGGTGGATTAAAGGTGTTCATATTTGCACCTACTGAACAGTGGGTAAGTCAGAGGCAATGACAAAGTTTTCATTCCCTCCATATCCCTGGCCTGTGGTGGGGCACAATAAATGTTTGCTGGATAAATTATTTTTTTCTGGTGTACTCTAACATAAAGCATAATAATTATTTTCTTTATTTCTGTATGGCATTTCCCCTGACACACACAATTCTTGAAGTGCTGTCTGGACTGGGGGTGTCACATCCACATTTAACACTGCAAACATCATAGATCTGGTATTTCTTTCCCTGCTGATATTGAGGACAGCTCGATCTGAAAGCTGAAGAGTGGAATAGAGTATTAGGCTCTTTGCAACGAGCATCCTAAAGATTTGCTTCCAATTTAATAAATAATAACCCATGTCTTCAAAGAGTTTAAGCCATGTTCATAATAATTAGAATATGTAATTACAAAGTAGAGAATGAGAGTTGCTATATGAGTGTAGAAGTAGAAACGTGTGTGTGTAATGGACTCTGCTTTCTTTCTCCCTGACAACCTGAGGAAACAGGAGGCCTGGAAGTCCACCTCCCTCAGTTTCCAGGGTCACTCCCAATGCCAGGCGGTAACCTTCCTTGGCCCAGCTCATCCCTCCACTGCTGCTCTGCCATTTTGGTCTGCAGCTCTTCCTCTTGGTTCTACCCCTTTCCCACTCATGGGTCATTTGGCCTCCTGGGCATAATCAAAGTAAAAGAGGAGCTGTCCTCATCCAAAGTCTGCTTTCCACAAGGCCTGCTATGAAGTGTTGCTTGGTCCTACCCCTGCCCAGAACTTTCCACAAATCTCAGCTCTGAGCTCTAGTGCTGCTCAGTCATGACAAGATTGTGCTCACTTTGAAAGTTATCCTTGGCCAGAACCATCTTTTCCATCTTTTGTCCAAGGCCTTCTGAGAGCAACCTGTGTGTCATTTTGGTGACTTCAGATGTCTCCTTTCACTTGTCATTGAGATGACTTCGGCCTGGGCATGCCCACCTACATTCTGCACCATAGCATTGGGAGTCTCTGGCTGGTGGACCATATCCATGGAAACTATTTCCTAGAGTCGTGACACATTATGACAATATCCCACGCTCTACTGAGATGATGGGACAAGAGGATCACATTCTCTTAAGACTCTTATCACTTCCAGCTCTGTAACTGGGTACTGAAAGGTGGAACTCGATCCCAGAGTGATAGTCAGCTTTCTCTATCTCTGTTAAGGGATTAAATCATCGAAAATCACATTGAGAATGCATCAGATGACTTATTTTAAGCAAAAGAAAACTTCTGGCAAAAATTATCAATTTCCATCACAACTTTCCTTCTGGGATCTTGGTGTTTATAATAGGAAATCATCTTTCATATCTTCTAAACAGATAAGAGAGCAATGGTATATTCTCTTAACATAGCTACCTGTACTCTCCTCTCTCCCTCTCCCCTATATCTGCCCTAAAGATTCATAAACTTCTGTACACATACATCTTCTGAATTCATCTTGGAACTCCCTCACCAGAGCTACGTGCTCCGGTTTTTTGTTTTTTGTTTTTTACTAAATCTGTTTCTTTTGCACATGATTTATTGCAATTTTAAGAGTGATGCACCATTCTATCAATTCTGGGTATGTTCTGTGATATTACCACTTACTTTCTTGTCATTAAGTTCAAGATCACTTTTTAAGCAACTATTTCATATGCACCAGCCTAAAGACCTTTTTGGAGCCATAAATATTGTTCCTGGTCTATGTCACTCTATTTCTCTTGAGAATTAGCAGCTATATATCCAGCTATTTTTCTTCTTTTTGATACCATATATATTATGCTTTTATGGCTTTCTGGGATATTTTATGTACCAATGAACTTCAAAATTCAACTTAAACCTTATGGATCAGGTCCATAGGACATTAGCCACATCTATTGCCCATGCCAGCTGATTAGTCTGACATCTTAAACCATGATCCCCAGTTCAAGTTCTATCATTAAAGGTACTATCTTAACAGCCAGTTGTTCATTCTCCAAGTTTTTTTTTTTCTCAACCAAGAATCAGAACCTTTCTGAAACCAGTTGAAATATGAAAACACCATCTGTCCCCCATAGGATACCTCTTGTTTTTTCTGCCCAGGACTTGAATGTTATTAGGGACCCATTCTGGCTGTGACCTTTATTCCCACACGCATGTCAGTGGGTACTCAGTCTAACAGTTGCAATGGACAAGTCTTGGAAGGCTCTGTATCAGGCCTCAGGCACACTATAGGAAAATGGGCCACCTGGAGCCTGACACCAAAGAAGCCAGCTTCTTAGCCTCAAAGAAGTGATTCCCCAGCCATGCATCTTGGCAGAGACTTTAGATAGAACATGGGTGTGATAACTATAATGATTCCAACAGGAAATATTTGGGAATATCTTAACCCACTCGAATCTGATATCCTGGAAGTCACACAGTTTCAGAATACCTCTTCAAATGACTGGCAAAGATAATCCTGTAGTGTGTACATGACAATAACCCACAGCCAAGCAACATTTTTTTATGCTCCTGTGTTATGTGCTTTTAGCTTACATTTTTAACAAAATGAGAATTAGAGCACCCTATATCTTACAGGGTTGTTATGAGAATTAGACATGAGGTATCTAGAATGCTTCTTAGCCCAGGGTGGAAGGCTAATAAGTTCTAGTTCCTGTTCGGGTTATTTTAATTATTACTGTCCTGTTAAACATCTTCAATGCTTTCCTGTAATTCTTTTCCATTTCCCTATTAATTCTGAGGCTTGGAATTGCCATGTTATTTCTTTCACATAGTTTAATGTAACAAAGGAAATACAGGGCAGGGGGAGGAGCTGTCTGAACTTCACATTGGAGGTCAAAACCCTAGTGACGCACATTATACATTTCTCAAGATAAAATTTGGAATGTGTTCTCATTTCCTCCCCCAGGGACATTGCTGCCAGGAACTGCCTCCTGACCTGTCCCGGTAGTGGAAGAATAGCGAAAATTGGAGACTTTGGGATGGCCCGAGACATCTACAGGTGATTAGACTGCCATCCCCTCTGCAAGCCTGCCCCTACCACCCATCCATCCTCTCAGAGGAGTGGCCTGGAGCTACTTGTGCCTGACACCATCTCCTGGTACTGTCAGGCTTCCTTGTGAAATTTCAGTGATTTCCTTTCAGGATGTAGGAAACCTTAATTAATGCCCATGCCTGAGGATCTAATTCTAGGATCCCACACCTGCGGGAATTGACATGAAAGGCTTAATTGGGTTGACTCTCTGGTTTCAGCTCTCTAATCCTGCCACGTTCTGAGACACGGAATAATTTGGATATAATTCTGATATTAAACAAAAGTTCTGAGTGAACTTTATAACTTAACCCCTTTCCTCAGTACTCAGGAATTCTAAGAGGATGCAGTAGAGTCTATGACCAGGCCCAAGCACCCTGCACTCACAAGGTACTGGACCAGCTCGATGTGCTGCCTTACCCACCTCAGGGACACTGGAGTAGATTCAAAGCCCACGGGGACTCAGCTCAGCTTCACTGTTTTTCCCTGTCATATTCCCAAGCAGCATAAACAATAATAAATTAATCTTTGATTTTAAAAGTAATACTTCTATTGCACTTTCTTCGCTCTCCTCTTCCCCACCTCGTCTCTCCTTTCTCTAGTGAGATACCCTGTGACTTGTTACGAAAGTGCATGGTCACTAGCTAGCCCCTTCCCTGAGGCACAGAAGTAGCAGGGAGATGGTTACACAGAGCTTTAACTGGAGAACCAGTGAGAGGATCCAGACACTTGGGAGGGCTCTGTCAGAACTGGAAAAGCCCCAGAGGGGTGAGAGTGATGCTACCATCCCGGGACCCTGGGTAGCAGCACACGGAGGACGGAGTTGGTGCAGAGCCCTGGGAAGCCACCCACCACTATCACTATGTGACTTTCCGGAGCTCCGCTCTACTTCCTTTTCTTTTCTTTCCTTTTGCTTGAGACACGGTCTTGCTGTGTGGTTCAGGCTGAGTCCTCCTGCCTCAGCCTCTGAAGTGTTAGAATTACAGGCGTGCACCACCACACCTGGTATGCCCACTCTCCCTCTGCACAGTCTCCGCTCCCCTCCTCCCTACCCTCAGGACACCTTGACTGCCTCTACTTCAATATCCACTTTCTGCAGCACATGAGCCGCCTCTTCCTTTCTTACTGGGGTCTCTGTTCTGACAGCTCTCTGTTAGCCAGCTTTCTGTTGCTGTGACAAAACGCCCGAGATAAATCCATTCATAATGAGGAAAAAGTTTATCTTGGCTCACAGTTTCAGAGGTTTTAGTCCACGGTCCCTTGGCACTGTTGCTTTGGACTTGTGGTCTGTTTGCCTCCTGGCAGAGGGAGGGAAAAAAGCAGGGAGGAGCTGGGTCCAATCCCCTTCCTGGGTGCACCCACAATAACATTCCTTCCTTCCACTAGGCCCAACCTCCTAAAGGTTCCACACCTCCCAGTAGCCCCACAGGCTGCTGACCAAGCCCTCAGCACATGGGTCTATGGGATACATTTAAGATCCACACACAACAGCTCCCCATATCTAGGCTTGAACTACCTAGCTTGCCTCCAGCCCCACAGTTCCTCACATATCTGTCCATTTGTAGGTCAGGCTGATCTTCCAAGAGAGCTCCTAGGCCTCCCTCAGTGCCCCTCTGAGTTGCTTCCCGTGCTTTACCCCAAATCTCACATGGAACAAATGAGTCCTTCATTTGTGTCACTGAACATTCCCCCTGCCCTGTTATTGTATGGGTGTTCCATGCTGCAACTGCAGATGTGTCTGCTTCTTCCATTAAACCATAGCCTCGGGAGAGAGAGCAAGAGACTATGACTTATTTATGTGCTCAGCACATGACAGAGTTACTTGATACATACTAAACTCTCAGCACATGTTTATTGAAGTAATTAATGTAGGCAGCTGGCAGGAAGCGGCTTCCCATAAGACACCCAGACGGCAGAACACCAGGCTGTGTGTGGAACTGGCTTAAAGGTAGATGAGTCGATTTATGAGTTTCCATCAGAGTTTTATTAATAACATTGCTAGTGAAAACACAATTAATTCATCTACCTTTTAAACTAATGGCACACCCAGTCCTGTGCTCTCCTGTCTGGCTGTGTTTAATTATCTGTTGAGGCCCCTACAGAACTAATTGCTGTTGGATGAGCGCCACAGAGGATCCAGAAGGGGTGAGACACACCCAGCTCACAGTCCTCCCGTTTTGTGTCTTGCATTACCGCAGGTCATCAGGAGCGTACTGTACTTGTAGGTTGAAGTCATGTTATTCATTGTGAGTTATAATAAAACCCAAAAGGGAAATCTCAACATCTGCTGGTGGGGATCTCAGTCATTGCATAGATCTTTTCCTTTGCGCCTCCGGCGGGCCATTAAATGACACCAAAGTTCTGAACTAAATGATGCGCATTCCCCCGCTCCCTTCCTGAGTCACCGAGGATGCCTCATTAATTTCATTGCTTTAATGGGTAGATTGTGCCATGGACACTTGCTCAAGTTCCCAGGCGGAACACGTGCTCACTGCCATCTCCAGATCCAAGCTCGCTCTCTCCTTCTTCCCCACAGAGCCAGCTACTACAGGAAGGGAGGCTGTGCCATGCTGCCCGTCAAATGGATGCCTCCTGAGGCCTTCATGGAAGGAATATTTACTTCTAAGACAGACACATGGTGAGTGTTCTGCTGCCCTCCTCCAGATTCCACTTGGGTCTGACATGGTGCCCTTGGGCCAGGAATCCACCCTCTCTTCAGGGAGACCAGGGCTACGGAGAAAGAAGATGAGATGTGCCCACAGCAGTGGTTCGCAAGTGTTGGCATATCTCAGAATCATCAGAGAGGCTTCATCCCAAGAGAATGTGATTCAGAAGGGCTGAGCTCCGGCTGAGAATTGGCATTTCTAATCAGTTCCCAAGTGACTCTGAGACGGCTTCGGCTTGTGTGTCCCAGAGACAGAGATGGGATATGGCCACAAGTCAAGGGATGCCAGCTGCCACCAGGCATGGGGAGAAGCAAGAACAGATCCCACCCTCAGGCCATGGGAGGCAGCACAGCCCTGCTGATGATTTGATGCCAGCCCTGGGAGACTGGTTTCTGATATCTGACCTTCAGGACCATGAAGGAATGAACCTATGTTGTTTAAGCCATCAAGTGTGTGTGAACTGAAGATTGAGCCTATGTCCTCACATGTGCTGAGCAAGTGCTCTACTGCTGAGCTCTATTCCCAGCTCTTCTGTAAATTTTATTTCATGAAAAAGTCTCACTAAGTTGCCCAGGCTGGCCTCAAACTTGCAGTCCTCCTGCCTCAGCTTCCCAATTAAGTGGGAAACAGGCAAGCTCCACTGCACCCAGGCTGCATGGTAATTGCTCGTAGCAGCCCTGGGAAAGGGACACACCCAGGGAAACCATGAAGCCGGCTGGCCCCAGGCCCGAGAGTCTCACTTCCGTAGAGCCTCCATCAGCTTTCTAGGGCTCCTGCCTTAAAATAGGAACAGCCAGCCCAGCACCAACAAAACTTTAGGGAAAGATTCTAACCTGAAAAACAAGAGAAGAGTGCAGAATGTTTATGGAAACTTCTTAGATGCACAGTAATATGCACAGAAAGAGAAATTATTACAAACATAAGCATAGTACAGAAGATTTCTGAAAGCAGTACTTTTCGGGGGAAAGAGCTCTTGGAAATGCAAATGTGAGGATAGAACCCTCCAAGGAGCTGGAGCCTGAGTCCTTTGAAGTATGTGTGGAGCTGCTATATGTCTGCAAAGAGTCCAGGCATGAGAAGCAGAGGGGAGAATTTACAGTGGAGAAACTGACAGATGCAAGCTCACCAGTGCCCTGGCCTGCATGGCTGAAGGGTTCGATCTCAGTGGGAGATTAAGAAAAAACAAAAGATACAAAAGAACAAAGCTGGGGCAGGTGGAGGCTTCTTCCTGATGGGAGAAAAGGTCTGGCTGGCAACAGCAGGGCCTTTATTTATAGTGTACAGATAAGGGAAGTGCAGGGAGAGGTCAGAGGGGCTGGTCTGTAACCAGAGCCAGGAGAGCAGCTAAGGTCTGCAGGACCTCATGCTTCCACGGTTTTATGGGGAACGGACGGAGGAGGACACGTCCTCTTCTCAGCCAGGTCCCGCTCTGCCACACCCTCTTGTTGCCTGCGCGCCTCCCACAGGACCCCGCCTCCGCCCCCAGCACACTGGGTGATGGAGGTCAATGTTGACAGCAGTAAGTCGTGTTACCCTTAAGCTGGCCTGAGGAAAGTGGCCCAGTGGAGGGTTTTCCAAAACACTCTGACCGGTCTTCAAACCAAGCACGGTCATGAACAAGGAAGGTCTGAGAAGCTGTGAGCCGTCAGGAGGAGCCCCAAGGAATGCGACAGCTAAATGCCATTTGATGTCCCGATGGATTCGGGAGTAGAAGAGAAATTCAGTAAAAACTAAGGAACCCCTTATTAACTAAGTTTTAGTTAATAATGTCTTGATACTGGTTCATTAATTGTAACAAATGTACCATATTAATGTGATGTTAAAAATAGCAGGAGCCTAGTGTGGGGTATGTGGGAGTTCTGTGTTCACGATTTCTTCTCAACTTAAACTGTTCTAAAACATACAGCTTATTTTTTTAAAGTATGATGACAGAAATGTTAAAGCGAAAGCAGGGTTAGAATAAGTGTTAAGCAAATCTTCCGGAAAATAAAACAACTCAAAAGAGATAGGATACATTGGAAAGAAAAGAAGATTAAGAGGGTTAGATCAATAGATCAAGTAAGCTGACAAAACAGGTGTCCCAGAAAGAAGGAACAAAGGAAATGAAGAGAATAAAAATATCAAAGGAATAATTGAGGATTTCCCAGAATAGACCATAACTCTCCAGAATGAAATCACCCATCAAGTTCCAGGCCCCACGGATAAAAAGAAACACACAGGGGCCCCATCCTGGGGACATTTTGGACCAGTGGTGGTGAACTTTCTGCATGCTGCCGAGGAGAAAAAGCAGATAACAGTAAAAAGTGGTCAGAGACCCCAGGGAATCCCAGGGCATGCGACATCTGGGCCACACAGGAACAAGATGACAGTGAGAAAATGCACAAAGGTCCCCAGGACTCCGTGATGAGCACAGTGCATAGAGCTCCTTCCTGATCTCTGGGTGAGCAGGAGCCTTTGCCACCTCTAAATCAGTGGGACTTGCCTTCACCTAATGCAGGGGTCAACCTCGGTCTGAATAGGGTGTCACTGGCAGCGGCATCACCTGGGAAGTCGTTAGACATGCACGTTCTCTGGCCTCAGAAACAGAAGCCAGAGTTGGGTCCCGTGTCTGCGTTTTAACGAGTACTCCTGACCCGTTCTGACTGCACCAAAGACAGAACACCAGCTACCTGACCTACTCAGAGATAGAACAGCGTGGAAGTAACGTTAAGAACTGTTCTGAGCACGTCACATCCTGCGGCTCATCCGTTCTACGTTACAGAAAGGCCGCCCGAGAGACTTGGACAAAGGTGTTCATTCATACACTGTTTACGATAGAAGGCAGAAGCCAACCCAGTGCTGTATCAGGCTGGTGTATTTTCACCAAGGAACACTGCTCAGCAGTATAAAGGAACCCACCAAAGCTGCATGCGTCGATGCAAATAAAGCACAAAAGTGAAATTTGGTGTGAAAAACCAAGTTACAGAAAGCCGTAGGACAACATTTAAGAATGATTTACAAGGCAAAGAGTAAGTCTACAGTGCATAGCTTCATGGATCTATTCCCTCACGACTTGTTAAAAGATGGGGAAACATAGGAGAGGAAAATGCTTTCTAACTTCCATAGAGGAAAGAGGAGGAGGAAGAGAAGAGACAGGGGTGGAAGTGGAGCTTGCCTAAATCTGTTCTATTCAAAATAATAAAGAATTGGGGCTGGGGATTTAGCTCAGTGGTTCCAGCGCCTGCCTCACAAGCACAATGGACCCAAGTTCAATCCCCAGTACCAGAAAAAAAAATAATAATTATCAAAATAATAGAGAACTGACACAAGAAAATAGAATAATCCATCTGGATTCTCTCAAAAGGTATTATGATCTCTTTCAATCATCTGTTTACTTCTCTACCTTTGTATCTAAAACTATGTAGATAGACAGAAAACGGGTAGCAAGCTTTTAGGCCTTGATTGTTTGATTTTGCCTGTTTCGCTTTGCCTTTGAGGGCAGAAAGATCACAAACATAGCAGGAAAAATACACAAGGTAAGATTTAATATATGGTGGATATTTAAATTTTTAAAATTATTACAGTAAAACACACACTGTCATTAATCCTCCTCAAAATATGCCTTCCTTCAAACACACTTATCCCATAATTCTTGCCACTTTCTGAATGAGTTCTACAAGTCATGGATATCTTTACCAGGTGCAATTAGAAACAAACAAAAGCCAGGCATGGTGGCACATGCCTGTAATCCCAGCACTCGGGAGGCTGAAGCAGGAGGGTCGCTGTGAGTTCGAGACCAGCCTGGGCTACACAGTGAGTTCCAGAGCAGTCTGAACTACATAGTGAGACCGTCTCAAAAAAAAAAAAGAAAAAGAAAAAGAAAAAGAAAAAAGAAACAAACAAAATACAGTGAATGCTGATGCCAAGTGCCATCCAATAGAAAAGCAGACTTCTAAAAACATTACAATTTGTCCTCAACCACCTTATTCACCAGAGCTGATGCCACACAACTCTGGATCTTCCCCAAAGTCAAAATGACCATAAAAGGTAAATATTTTGATTTGACTCAAGATATGGAGGCAGCCACAACAGTTTAGCCAAAGACACTCATGAAAAAGGGCTTCCAGAACTGCTTCAGAAAGAGCAAGAACAATGGGGTAAGTGTGTTTGAAGCAAGGAGAGGAGTATTTTGAGGGGGATTCATGACGTGTCTCTCACTGAAATAACTTCTTTTAATTTTTAAACAATCACCATATATTTTTTATCACACCTCATCTATGGCAGGGAATTTGTAGTGGCAGAAAACAAGAAACCTGTTTATCTATTCCAGGCCATCCTGTGTAGTTGTGTCATAACCTCGGCCTCAACCTTTCCACCTGAAAAAAAAAGGAAAATATCTTTGCCCAATCCTCCTCACAAGAGCCTTTGGAGTTCGCCAAGATGATAAGAAAAGCACCTCACTGTCCTTGGGAATATAGTCCTCTAGTTTTTGTGGTGATGTTTATTCACAACATAAAACTACATCCAGATACAAAACAAAGACAGGCTTTATCAAAAGAGCTAATCATTAAATTAAGGGTTTACAATAAAATTGTAATCAAAACATCAGAGGAGATTAGAACGTGATAAAAATCATTCAGAAGAAATAACCAATGAGAAATCAAGTGCATTTTTGGAAAGAGAGAAATAAGACAAAAATGCCTTATCAGATACTAAACACACAAAAAACAAAGCAGATCGGTATCAATACAAGAAGCAAAGTGAATGGGTGTATGGGCTAGAAAGAGATCTGTTTTAATCATAAGTCAGCAGGTAAAGGGTAAGTTATTGCACGACTGATGTTGAAAGAGTAGTTGTTTGGAAAACCCAACCAATTTTAGAGCTTTACCTCATCAAATTAAACTCCAACTGATTTGGAGAAGAGAGAAAAGCAGACACAACTGGAAGAAAACAGCAAACACTCATCTAATCTTTTGATGAAGGAAGGATTGTGTAGCTATAAAATAAATGGAAGCCTCAAAAATTTTAATAAATAAATTTGACCACCTCAAAATAAAAATTTTTGGTATGCTCAAACGTAGAATAGAAAATAACTAGCCAGGGATACATAGTCCATGCCTATAACCCAAGCAACTTAGCAATTTCAGCAAGACCTTGTCTCAAAGCTTTGTAAAAAATAATTTTTTTTAAAAAGGCTAAGATATAAAGGCTCTGGAATCAATCCCAAGTACCACAAAAAAAAAAAAAAAAAAGGGGAAGAGAAAGGGTTGTAACAAAAAACAGTTTAATTTTTGATAAAAGGTTGACATCTTTGATACAGGTAAAGAATGTCTGCAGTGGAAAAGGAAAATTGATAGATACAAAAATATTTTATCCAGAGAGTTAAAATGAGCAAAAGACATGAACAGAAAACTCAGAGTAGGATAAAAATGAAGTTGATTAATGAACACTTAGGAATAAACATTCTGCTATAACTATAGTCAGTACACAGACTTCCAGCTGTTTCTATTTTGTGCTCCATTGAGAAGGAGCCAATTGAGTTCTGTCCTTCATGCAGTGAGGTAGTGAATGGCGACACACATGTGGAAATCAGATCAAGAGTGTGTACCAAGACTCAGTTTTCAAATCCTTTTGATCTAATTATTATACTAGACTTTATTCTCATTTTACTAGATTATCCTGCTTTAGTCATTCAGAAAATTTAATCCTAAGGAAATCCCCCTTTTAAAAATGTACAGAGTTCCACTGCCTGTCTCGAAAGCACAAGGTCCTGAGTTCGATCTCCAGTACCAAAAAAAAAAAAAAAAAAACCA